ACATGGCTTCTGATCCAAACCATAAAGCAGAGAAGGTTGCCTCCCAGCCAGAGAGGCCAGGGCAGTTCTAGGGATGGACACTGATTCTCCAAGTCAGAGGAGGTCTTGTGCTTCACTACTCTTGGCATTTCCCATTTCTAGAAGTTCTGTGGAAGTGTTTCTTCATCCTTGTGCCAGTTGCTCTCATTGTAATATGAAGAATGAAAAAATATAACTCTACCATGAGTCTCATTTTATTACCTAACAATATTATCAGCAGTATACTCTAAACAGCATAACCAACAGCTAGATAGAGCTACCATTTGGGTTTCCCAAATTGAGTGAAGCTAAGAATAGTATTCTTTCTTTTATTCAACCTAATGAAATCTTTTTTTATTAAAATATCTTGATTATAGATACCTGAAGTACATCTTTGAAGATTTCCTTTGAGGATTTTCTGACTGGAGGCCTTCATAACTTTAAAAATATATCACAAAGCTGGTACTTCCTCAAAGACTTCTGGGTGCAATCAAGCATGTTGACAGGCATTTTGAAGAGGCCCTCTTTGCTCACTGTGATGGGGAAGCCTGACCAAGTAGGTTGGAAGTTGCTTGGTATAACACTTATGGGGAGAGTCAGCTTTGAGGGCATGTGGCATGGACATGGGCCTCCCTACACTGGGTCCATGCTGTGCTCCAAAGTGGGCCCTGGGCAGAAGACAGGTCACTTGGGACTGGTTCCTTGGAGGCTGGCACACTGCTTGCTCTGCAGCCTCAACTGTTACATGAATTAACCTTTTGGAGACTTCCTGGTGAATCTGCCCCTCTTTTTTATTGTTTTTTTAGTTGTAAATGGATCTTTTATTTCATCTATCTATCTATCTATCTATCTATCTATTTATATGAATTATGAGGATTAAACCCAGTGCCTCACACATGCCAGGCAAGAGCTCTATACCACTGAGCCACAGCTCCAGTCCCTGAATCTGCCCCCTCTTATCTGAAATCTTTCTAATTAAGTATTCAAGTGTCATCTTGGAGCAAAACATCATCTCCATGAATACTCAATTTGTACCCAAATAAGTGGTCGCTGCCAAGAACAGGTAAAACAATGACCATTATGTATTTTCTGTTGAGTAGTGTGTAAAAGGACTTTTTGTTTTCATGAATGAAAGTAAAATAAATCTGTCAGGGCCCTGCACAGAATTTTACTGCTAGTTACCAAGAGTGTGTTTGACTTGGACCGGATTTTTAAACTGTTTTTATATAGAATTTTACTTGAGTTTTTAACTGTAGTTAGACTACACTGACAGTGAGACCTCATCATTATGGCTTGAGTAAAGCTGTGATATGTTTTCAGGACAAACACGCATCGTGTCCCTAGGAAAGACTCCCTCACCAACAAGGACAGTTATTTTATTTGGCTGTAGAGAATTAAACAGGTACGTTTGAATTGGTTTTGATTTCGGATCATTCTAGCATGTGCATGAAAGGTGCACTGTGGTGTAGGGAAAGGGAAGCTGGAGTAGGGACCAGTTTCCGCCATGGCAGTGGCCCAGGCAAGCAGAGATGGGGCTGTGGGCTGCTTGGGGTAGAGGGGGCTGAGGATAGGTTCACAAGATTGATCAACGGGGCGCGGTCCTGGAGAGGAGTGCAATGCCAAGCCAGTTTCTTACTGGCATGGACACTTCGCACAGAGGAAGGTAACCTAGGATAAAAGCAGATGTTCAGAAGAAACAACGCCCATCATTTTAGACATTTGAAGCACCTGGGACTTCTATTTGATGGAGAGTCAGCATGTGGATGGAAATGGAGCTAGAGAGACCAGGTAGCAGTGGAAGGACAGGGAAGAAACAAGGCCTCATTGAAGGCCACCGTCACTTAGTGATACGGGTAAAGCACAGGGATGTAGGAAAGAAATGAGAAAGAAAAGAACCAGGAGATAATGGAGCCCCACAGGCCAGTGCAGGTGTGATTTAATGTTAAATCACTCCCACCTACAGACACAAGGCCCTAGTGCCTGCTCAGTCCCCTCCAAGAAGTGGTTTCCTGGGAGTCTTTGCAGCATTGCCCTGGCATCTCACCCACAGGATTCTCAGGCTTCTCTGGGTGAAGTACTTTCCGCTGGGCATGGTGGACCATTCTCCAGCCATGTGGCCATGGCTCCTCCCGACTCTGCCATTCCTAATCCTGCTTTGCTGGTGGCCACCTGAGCAATCAGTGCCCTAGAATTTCACAGTGGCCTGTGACAGTGAGGGTGTGGTTCCCTCCCTTTAAGTCACAGTGTCTGAGAGAGAGGTGTGTTATTTTTTGGAGGGATTCTCAAAGCTTGGGGTATTTATTGGGGGAAGATTCTAGAAGCATCCACGACACTATTTAAATCCTACTTCTTTCCAGTGAATCTGTCTTGCTCCCTGAATAGTTTGTCTTGGTTCCTTTTCTCAGAATATCCTCTTCTGCATGGTCTGTGTGAGTGACTTCTGGGGGAAGACACTCCCATTGCCTTGGTATGCGCAGAGCAGTGGCCCGGGCTTGCATTCCATCTCCTTGGACCCATGCTGCCCTCTGTCATGCTGTTCTGTTACTCATGGACACTAGGGGCCACACGGAGCAAGCTGAGCTCTCCTCCACACAGGACAGGGGCTGGGGGTAGGAGAAGGGACTTGTCCTTCTCCGTCAGACACTACCCGAGTCATAGAACACCATGGGAAGGGAAGAGTTGGGGAAGGGAAGATTTGGAGAAAAGCAGACAGCTCTTTCCAGGGGCAAGGTCGTGAAGGAAAAGAAAAAAGACAGTTGGTTGCTGTCGCATATCATGATATTTAGGAACTTTGGTTCCCATGTTTTAAAGATGGGAGAAATTTTAATCAAAGTCAACTTATAATTTAACTATGTCTTTGATTTACTCTCCCCTCTGTGTGGTCCAGTTGTTTTTCTTCTGTTGTTTGGTATGAGACCACATCAAATATATAGTGACATTCTATGATTTGCACAAGTCCAAGTGCTCCAGCCTCAGACACTTGGAACTCTTCAGCCTGTTTTCCTGTCCTGGGAAGGAGGAGTTGTCAGCCACAGATGGAGGTGGTTGGATAGAGGGTGGGACCCTCTAGCAGGAACAGGGTCTTTAGTCCCATAAAAGCCAACATGAGAGCAGTTGCATTAGGGCCCCATGGGTCTTTGGTTTGTGTTATCTGACACTAGGAGTGGACCTGCCAGCTGCCCAGTGGGCTCACAGGAGAGAGCCTCTCTGGCTGACACCACCAGCCTCTTCTCCCCCCACCTTCCCTGCTCCTCTCCGCTGCCCACTCAGACCCCTGCAGTCTCTGCCTCACTTGCCACTTTGCAAACAGCTTCAATCTTGTTCAGTCCTGTTTTTTTCAATTGAGATATAATTCATGTAACATGAAATTCACCATTTTCACTATTTTAAGTTGATCCATTCAGTGGCTTTAATATTTTCTCAATGCTGTATCCCCACCATTACCTAATTCCAGTACACTTTAGCTTTAATCTCTTGAGCCCGGAGATAAATGAAAGGGGGTGGACCTCATCAAAAGAAATAAAAGTTCCCCACACAGAGGATCCACAGTTTGGTGAGTAAATCCCCTCATTTTTTTTTTCTATTTGTAACATTTTTTCCCCTTCTCAGAGGCTATAAAATTGTAATGAACTGTTTTGCTTTGCTGGCATTATTTATTTATTTATTCCATTCATTCTGTGTATTTAGCATTTCTTCTAGGCCAGGTACTCAGTGCTGGCAAGAGGTAAGATGAGGTAAATAAGTGGACGAGGCCCCTGTGCTCTGGGGTTTGTAGTCTTAACAGGGACCACAGATAGTAATCAAGCAATGGTTATCACAGGGACAACAGAAAGACTCCCCAGTCTAGGGGTCAAGTGCAGTTTCCCTGAGAAAGCAGTATTGAGGTGAGAGCTAGGGGTGGAGCAGGCTTAGCCAGAGAAGGACAGTGTGAGTGTAGCTGGGGCAGGAGGAGGACACCTGAGTGAGGACTGGGCAAAAGAAGTAGCCTTTGGTGACGCCTTCAGCAGGAAAGAGAATGCTGGCCGTGGGGACCCAGAGGTATAGGGTGGCTGAAGCATTGAGAGCTGCAGGGGAGTGGAGCAAGATGGCACCAGGTGATAGAGGCAGGGGGTACCCTGAACCCATGTTGATGACTTAGGATCTTATCTTCAAAATGGGAATCTACTGGTTGGTTAGTGCTGAGGATGACAGGATCCACCAACTGTGTGGAGGCCAGCTGGGAGGTCACTATACGGTGGGAAACTATAGTTGCTTGGGTTATGATGGCAGCCTTAAGGTTGGAAAAGAGGGAATGGATTAAAGAAGTGATTAGGAGATAAAATATATGGAAGAAGAGTGAAATCTTTATTTATTTACTTATTTTAGTTGTAGGTGAACACAATATCTTTGTCTATTTTTTTAAAGTAGTGCTGAGGATGAAACCCAGTTCCTCACATGTGCTAGGCAAGTGCTCTACCACTGAGCCACAACCCCAGCCCCAGAGAGGGAAGTTTTAAGGATGACTCGAGCAGGTAGGTGCAGAGAAGACAAGGAACTCTGGTGAGAAACAAGTTTAGAAGGAAGGATCTTGTGTTCAGCTTGGGAAAAAAGGAGACAGGAAATTGCTATTAGACAGGGATATCTGGCAGCTCGGAGGAGAGGCAGAGGGTAACTGAAATCACCCTTCATACCAGTGACAGTACCCGAGATATTTACTGGGTGGTCATTACCTGTCTCTCCTCCTGGCTCAGTACTTCTGGGCCTTGTTGTGCCCACTCCTAGACCATGTTTGCCCTGATCTTTCTAGTCCTGTCTCTCCGTGTCTACAGTGGTTCTCTTTAGTCTCTAGCTTCTTGAGAGTAGGCCTGTTTTGCTTATTTTTACATCCTTAGCGCTCAGGAGCATTTTAGAAACCCCCCAGGTATTCAGATAATGAATGACTGACTAGCAGGACTCCCGAGTGAACGAGTGGGTTGGAATCTACATACAGCATGTGTTAGAAATAGTGGTGAACATCAGTCTTTAATTTTATAGCACCTACTATTTTAGTTAAAACAATCCTTATTTAGAAAAAAGACAAAGTCATACACGAGATCAGAATGTAGGCAGCTTTAGAAGTACAGCACAAAGGAATATATAAACAAAGCGCCCAGGACCCGGTAGTTCAGAAGCGCCACCTTCATTGTCACAAATGTCTTCCTTGAAGCTTTGGAGGACATGCTTCAGAGGACTGTAGTCATTGAGCACAGCTTAGCTCAGGAAGTATCTAAGAAGCCGTCCTCTTACATTTCCAAACAGGCTGATATTTCACATTGAATGGTTGATGGCTTAGATCTCTTCGGTTCAACTGTGGAGCTGGATTCTAGGAGGCACCCTGTCTAGACATGGCCCTAGATCCATGACCCTCCATGCCATGGGGAGGAGGAGAACAGATATGCTCTGCTTCACAATGGTCCTTCCTGACCAACCTTCCTGACCAGTAGTCCCAGCTCACAGCCCTGCATCTTGGCCACAATGTTCTCTAAACCCAGGGGAGACTAGACCCACCCCAGCCATGTGCAACCAAGGGCATGGGGTTCAGGAGAGTGCTGCTGAGTTCCCAAGGAGGAGATGGAAGAACAAATGGGGTGCTTCTCTGTCACTGCTTCCATCCCACCCATGTGGGTGTGTGCATTTCAGTTACAAGGGCCGAAAAGAGCTTCAACATGAGCAGGCCCAAAGCAGCATCTAAAAAGGAAAGGAAAAGGAGAGGAAATCTGTGCATGTTCTTGTTGAATGTGTCATGGAGGAAAGGTGTGATTCCTGCTCCAGAGAGGCAGACCCTTTGCCACTTGGCATCACAGCTTCCCCCGCCCAGGTGCTAACATGAAAGGGAGAGATACCCAACATCCACAAGCAACTGACCTTCTGTCTGCTCAGAGGGAAGGCCCATCTGAATGCCCACAGTCATTCCCAGGGCACAGGATCGCACTGAGCTGAATACAGCCCTGAATGGCAGGTCGTGCAGTGCTGGGAAAGTCCAGGGGACAGGAACCCATCTCAGTTATGCTGCCCTCATTCTGCCTGTCTGCCAAGCAGTAAAGTAACTGCAGTCTTCCTCTTCAGCAGGGCTGCCTGTAAGGTGCCGAACACGGCCCATACCCAAGCCCAAGGCTGGTGGGAGCTGGCATCTGGAAGAGTGGGTGTAGATTTTGTACTCCAGCAGAGGGCAGTGCCACATAGGTTTACTATGAAGGACCAGTGGGGGAGCAGCATCTTTTGTCTATTGTCACATGTTCTCTATATTATTGAATAATGATTATTTAGTGTCACAAAAATGGGTGACCCCTTCTTACATTTACCTTTTGGATATAGGTGGGAGGTCCTAGGGAAGATTAAACCCTAACAATTTAAAACTTTACTATTTTAAATACCATGTGCCTCATTTTGTCTTTTTCCTCCAATATAGGCCTCCCGGTATAGATCTGTCCTGGCATGTGACATCCACTGTGACTTCCCCTTCTATTTTGTGTGGTACTTTGCTACTGCAACCAAACAAAACCCATATTTCCTAGAGCCTTGTCATGGAATATTACAGATGGGAGTTTTAAGATGAGCCTGTTACTCTAACAACAAAAGGACTTCATCCCAAGCAGCTTAATTTACAGTGTGGTCAATTTAACATGGATCCCTAGAACAGGATGAAGAGCAAAGCCATGACGTGTTAATGGACAGGCCTTTAATGACTGTTCTATTGGTCATAAAGCAATCTTCCCTTTCCACTCCCTGTGCAGTGTCAGGGCGTTATGCGATCACAGTATGTGCTTTCATAAACCAACTCTAAGTGTAGTTGTCTGGGATTCCTGCACGGTCGGCTTGTACCTGCACCTCAGTTAAGAATTCCTATCTGGCACTTCCCCACATGACACAGATCAGAGTCTGAAAGAACTTTAGAAAATCTTAGGTTATATTTTTCTCTGCTGACACCACGATGCTAATAATTAAAAATCCTCACAAAGTCAAGGTTAACAATTCAGATGTCCATATGTGTAAATAATGATATAGGTGAAGCAAATTTATATTAATTCCCCTATTTTAAAAATTCCTTCTATCTGGGCACTTCCTCATGGAATTATAATAGGAATTTTTAAAAAAGAAGATGGCATTAAAAGCTTTCTAGCTCCCTGGCAGTGAAGTGGTGATAGATCCAGGGGTGGAGGTTGTTAGCTACCAAGACTCTGTACATAATGGCGCCAGGTGGGGATGGGAGGCTGCTGTACTTCTGATATAGGAGGTTTTCTGCTCCGGAATTGAGCATCATCAAGTCTGGTTGGTCTGAGTGCTGTGTCTTGCTTGAACAAGAAGGGCAAGTTCAGCCACAGACAGTAGCTGTGTTTGAGATGTAAAATGGCAAATTCAGTTTAAGATCAGATTGGGAACTGGATTTAAGGCTGAATGTTGGAAATAAGTCCTGTAGAAGCAGTGGTCCTCAGGACCCGTTTCCCCCGGCCAGCCGTGGAGAACTTGCCCTTCAGGACTTTGTGACTAGAGAACTTGAGTTTGGTAGAACCTAATCACCATGCAGCACAGGGGTCTCTAAGGAAGCTTTCATCTAAATTTCTAGATTTTACATCTGAGATATTAGGAACACCTTGGTTTTTAACTATTTTTGTTGCCAAGGCCCTGTGGGAGGGGTGGGAAATCCACCTCTTTAGCTGCTGTCCCACACCATCACGTGTGGCCCTGTGGCTTTGAGTGGTTGGGGCCTCAGAGGAGCTAGGGACCAGGGTGAGGTCCAGGAAGGCCTGGAGCAGCAGGGAGGAGGCAGGGTGGATGGCACCGTGTCATCCCTCCCTCTGCTGCACTCTGCCCTCGTCCATCTCAGGTGGAAGGGTCTCTGAGTAAGGCCAACCTTCCTGGTCACCCTTCTACCCCTCTGCCCTGTGCACATTGTAGCTCGGTAGGGGCAGGTCTCATCTGCTCCTCCTGTTCTGTCTGCATGGGGGAGGCCCTGAAGTGAAGGAGAAAAGGGAACAGGGCAGGCTTCTCCCTCCAGCCTCCTCTCCCGCCCCTCACCACTGCCTCTGTGGTGGCCAGACTGTGTTGGCCGTGGTGGGACTGAGGGAACCAGTCAGCTGGGAGATGGAGTGAGGAAGAGCTTCCTGGAGGCATCATCAGGCAGTGCAGGCAGGGCATTTCCTGGTCTGGGAGCTACACCTTACATCTAATGTGACAGGACACAAGGAGAAATGACCGTCCACTGGAATGTGGGGAGTTGGTGCCTCACAATGCGAAATAATCCCAACCTCTTTAGTTCCATTTTTCCCCAATGCCAAAAATGAATAACATGTTTTCCCAGAGTCAATTCTGAGCCACGAAGTTAGAGCTTGTCATAGGTAGCTCAGCAAGAACGTACTCATACATCAAATCAGATTCCTGGAAGACCAGAACTCCCCCTAACTAGTTCTGTACAGAGCCAGGATCCTGGCCAACAATACCCATTTAACAAGCACCTCATCAACCACCAATTTACCAGAGAATCTATTTTTTAAAAACTGTTTTATTACTGGCTGTTACATTAACTACATCTAGTGATAAGTGACATTTATCTGTAAATCTTACCAGGGAAATGAGCATGGTGTAATCAGCACCGAATCAGAAGGGATGAGTCAGTCTCTAGTAGATTTTGCTACTTAGAGTTTACATTTAGGGGGCAGCTGACTCTGCATATTAGCAACCTAACAAAAACTACCATAATTATTAGTGAAAATAAATAGTGGTTCAGAACTTTCTGCTGAGTTAATCTCAATCTTTCTGTGGTACTTTATCAGTCTTATTTACCATTTTCATTTATTTTATCAGGGACTAAACTGAACAGAGTACTTAACTTCCTAAAAACCAAACAGCACTGCCTTGAGCCTGCCAACCAAACCAAGTCTTTGCCTTGTTCTCTCTTTCCTCCCAAATCTAGAAAATCTGACCTCTCCCATTACAACCCTTTTTGTCCCCACATTTGCCCTTTCCCCAGATGATCAAATAAGGTCACTGAATATCCTTTGAGCCAAATTTTCTTCTGGTTTAAGGTTGGGTTTCCAGCCTGCCCTCCCTCCTGGTAGGCCTCAGGGTACCCCTTTTAGTCATCCTGTGAGGTGTCGTCGGGGCTCAGCGGGGAGCATCGCCAGTGAGCCCAATGATTTTTATTTATTGACTAATTAAGTTTCATCTCAGGGAAGAAGTATTCAGACTTATGTAAAAGAAGAAGTCAATATTAATTTTTTAAAGGTCATAGGTAATAAAAGGGCATTTTGAGTACAATTCATTTTCAAATACCATTCCTGTGGTACTTACAAACCCATGAATTTCTCACTCTGCCCTCCTAGTAATCATCAGTTTGTGTGCTTCTTTTAAAAATACCAAAGCAAATGACATTATCGATAGTCCACATATCATAAAAATGCTTGGATAAAAATGACAGTAGCATAGGACCACATGCTACCACATCTGTTCATTACCTAAGCACTTTATAACCCAAACAGTAACGAATGGACAGATGCAGTACCATCCCGTTGCTTCTTCCTCTGAGCTTCGAGTGCCTCAGCTCCAAGTGAGCAGGCGTGATGACCTGTGGGTCATCACGCATCTAGACTGCTGGGTCTGGGACTGAAATCTTCAGCAGTATTCACAGAGAGGAACATTTTATTTTCATCATGTCATGAACCCATTCTGACCCCTATGTGAGCCTACACAATATTCTTTCCCAAGTCCAGATTCAATATTAAATTAAAATAGATGTGCAAAAAGAAAGAAAGATCTGCCACCAAAACAGAGCCTACCCCTCCACAGAACCACCAGCTTGGGGGAAAACCAGTGTTCACTGTTCCGTGTCCTCATCCAAGCTCTTAAAGAACAGGCTCACATTCTTCGTGACCCGCAGATGTCCCAGCATGCAGAGGAGCACTAGAAGTGTGCAGGGTGGTCTGCACGCCCACGCCGGGGCCATTCCTCATCCACCCACCTGCGCAGCACCTTCTCCACGTCGGCCCTGTGATAGAGCCTGCACAGCTCCATCAGCTGGCTCACTGTCCTCTGGCTGTTGCGGAACAGGAACTCCAGGGTGGGGCTCTGGGGCCTCTGCTCCAGGAAGCACAGTTCGTCATAGGACATGCCCCATTTGCTTGCAAAATTCCTCCAGTTCTTCACCGTTGGGTGACAGGGATCCAGCTTTATCCTGATCACATCTAGCAAGTCCTGATCATTGAGCAAGTCACTGATGGTGGGGGCCCGGAGTGAGCAGGACGAGCAAGTGCAGTCTTCCCTACAGGACTGGTCCTTAGTAACACCTGCAGGAAGAAACAGAGTTACCCGGGAGGCCTGACCTACGCATTCATTTCTCACCACCTTCATTTTCTGCGGACCTGTTGAAAGCATCAATCAGAGCACACAGCTTTTTCTTAGAAATAGTTCAGAACACTCGTTTCTCAGTGTTCACACAACAGTGTTCTTCATCACAGCCAAAGACAGATTGTTTTACTGGAAGCAGTTGTAAGATTTTATAAAGTCAGTCTCCCTTTCTGACCCACCACTGTAGGATCACCGGTCAGAACGAGGGCTCCCAAGGAGGAGGAGTAGGGGCCCTCAAGGGCAGAGCACTAGTCCAGTCCCCACTGGAACCCGCCCACACTGTGAGCACCTCCACCCTTGCCCTCAAAGCTTTTTAACAGAAACACAGAGTGTCAGGGTGTGATGGATTGAACAGTTCTTTAAAAAATTAAAACTGGAATATCTACTCCATATGCATATTTGAAAACAAGGGTAACTAAGAGTGCCAGAGACAGACTTCAAATTTATGGCCACCTTATCATCCCTTTCTTTATCTATCTTTTCTTCACCAAGGGGCTCCCTTTGAAGGGGAGCCAACTGCCTGGGGCATGTGCAGTGAGTTGAACGGGCAGAGGAGAGCTGGGCCTCCCCACGAGAGCACGCCCCCAGCAGAGGGAGGGAGGGTAGCTTCTCACATCCAGTCCTCCACCTCATCTCATCACCAGGCTGGTGAGTGGGAGTAAGTCAGTGGGTAAGAAGTCTGCTGCCAAGTCATCTATGATAAAGTACTAAGCAGTGTCTACATAACGTGGCACACCAAGCAGCTTAAATTCTATCACACTAACTCATGAGACCTTTGGATTTGGGTTTTAAAGGCTATTTAGAGATAACTGGCTGGGAAGATTCCGGGGAAGTAATGATGTTCTTGTATTACTCAGCTTTTTGTTGCTGTGACCAACATATCTGGTAAGAACTACTTAGAGGAGGGAAGAGTTACTTTGGCTCATGACTCAGAGGTTTCAACCCAGGGTCTGATGGCTCCACTGCTCTGGGCCCGTGATGAGGCAGAACATCATGGCAGAAGAGTTGGTGGAGGAAAGCTGCTCAATTTGTAGAAGCTGGGAAGCAAAGAAGAAAGAGCAAGAGAAAAGACAACCCCTTCCAGTGACCTACTGCATCCAAGAAGGTTCTACCTCCCAGTAGTCCATTCAGTCATCAAAGGATCAAATCCACTGATGAGGTCAGAGCCCTCATGATCCAACCACTTCCTAAAGCCCCACCTCTGAACACTGCTGCATTTCAACATGAGACTCTGGGGAACATTCCAGGCCCAAAGCCTAATATGAACTGCATATGCTATCACACTGGGCAGAGACCTTCCCAATTTAGGAAAGCGAAGAAGTCAGTATCACTTTGGTCATTAAGTTGAAAGCCAGCAATTCTGTACAAATTCAAAAGCTAAAAAACAAGAGCCATGACAATTATACTCATATTCTTTTACCAAGGGATGTGACCTCTGGGAGTCCAGTTCAAGAAGACTGCCAAAGATATGTACATACATGAACATTTCTATGACACTGTTAGTCATATTATCAAGTTTTTTTCTCTCTTTTCTTTTTTTTTGGGGGGGGGTGTAACTAGGGCTTGAACCCAGAAGTGCTTAACTACTGAGCAACATCCCCAGCCTTTTTTATTTTTTATTTTGAGACAGGGTCTCACTAAGTTGCATAGGGCCTTGCTAAATTGCTGAGGCTGGCTTTGAACTTATGATCCTCCTGCCTCAGCCTCCCCAGTCACTGTGATCATAGGCAGCTCAATTTTTAAAAACAACTTGAATGAATAAGACTAGGGGACTAGTGATACATGACTGCACTCTTTGATGGAGTGCGACCTCAAAAATCATGAAAACTACACAGCAACCTAGAAAGTGCTTGTCATGTTAAGCAAGAAATGTAAGACCTAAAAAACATGTACTCCAGGATCAGCACAAAGGGTAGAGACAAGGTGATATCACTATGGAAGGAGATGTGCAGAAATAATAGCCATTGCCTCAACTTGACAGGATGTTTCTGTGTTTCAAACTTTCTCCGGCACACTCTGTGCTTCTGTAACGATTAAACGACGTGTCAACATAGAGAGGACTCCTCAGTAGAGCATCCCCTCTCTTGGCCACACTGTGGCCATAACTCTGAGCCTACACTTCCCCCCTTGGCTAGGACTCACTTCATCTAGTATTCTTTCTTTCTCCTCATCTTTAGCCATTTTCTCTCTCCTTCATCTACAAATATGTACAGGAATCCTCTGCCCTAAAAAATAAGAACCTCAAGCTACCATCCTCTGGTCTCATAATGTTCTAAAGCCACTTTCTCTTTTTCTTCTTTTATTCACTGTTGAACTGTTAGAATAAATATGCAAAACTTGTGGCCTCCTGGCTGCCTCATGTTCTTTTTTTTTTTTTTTAAAGAGAGAGTGAGAGAGGAGAGAGAGTGAGAGAATTTTTAATATTTATTTTTTAGTTCTCAGCGGACACAACATCTTTGTTGGTATGTGGTGCTGAGGATCGAACCCGGGCCGCACGCATGCTAGGCGAGCGCGCTACCGCTTGAGCCACATCCCCAGCCCCATGCCTCATGTTCTTAATGGTCCTCTTCTTTGGCTTTGAGTCCATCTGACCTAGCCTAGCTCCTGCCAAACCTTGTGAAGACTGGACCCAGTTCCCTGCATCCCACTTTCTGGCCAGAGACCAGTTCTGATCAGGTAGAAAAATCTGGATCTATGATTACTCTATAGATGCCCTGGGCCTCCTGCTGCTACTGCCTCCATGCTGCCTGGTCTGGGAAGGCCAGCTCTGGAGCCAGGCCTGAGACTCCTCTGCCCCTGTGGATGCAGTATGTCACACGGCAGGGCTCATTTTCTTCTGTGGGTCTCTTCTAGAAGATGGTCAAGCCCTGTCATGTCCTAGCCGTGTTCTTCTCCTTGATGTGCCAAGACCCCCTCTGGTTTCTGTGGACCCTGAGGAGCTTCAAAGAGGTACTCAAGTCCCATTCCTGTCCCGCAGCCTTCCCCTTCCACACCCTCTCCATTTGGTGATCTCCACTTCAGCGGCTGCCTACAAGACTCTCCCACCAGACCTCAGGTCCTTCCTTTTGCATCCATGGGACTCATGCAGGCAGCCCTTGGCATACAGCACACGCCTAATCACTGTTTTTACCACAGAGGGGAACAATCGTGTGAACTCTCCCGGCTCCAGAGCTGAACACTGAGAGCTCCTCCAGAGGATGCCAACTCAATGCACCAAACCAGTACTTAAAATCTGCCCCCAAGCACCCAAATGCTTGACTGCTCTGTGCACACCTCCAGTCCCCGGAGTCCTGGCAGACTTTCCATCACATCCTCCACTGCCAAGCCCCTGCCGTCCACTCCACACTGCTCTTCCCGTTTCATCCCTGTGGCTGTCCAAACCAAACCACTTGGTTCCCTATGTTTTGTTTTTTAAAGCTTAATTTTAAAAAATTAAAGCTAATATAATCACAATGTAGAAAAAATCGGAAAACATAGTATTATTATGGACTTTGAGAAACTATGGAAACTCGGGTTTTTCCAGATTTTCACAACCCTGAGCAGTGGTGCAATGCCGACCTTCCATGTGCACATTTGACCACAGCTTCAATCATCTAACCAGCAATAGGATCATGGGTTCAGAAGTATGGGTCTCCGAAGGCTACAGATGCACCTGCTCAGGTCCCTCTCCAGAGGCAAAGGCTGGGCCAGTTTACATCCCAATCCAAGCACATTTAAGGTTCGTTTTGCTCACCTTTAGCACCAGGCTCCAGTTCTAAATATCTCCCCAGTATCATAGGCTAAAAGATCCACTCATGTTTTGTTTCTGTGCTTTTCAATAACACAGGTGCCAGAGTATTTACTGAGTTGGCCAATGTGAGGGAATTTAAAGCTGTCCTTTAAAATCACAAACTGGAGTTAGCTCTCTGGATGACTTAAATAGGGAAACAAGTATTTTTTCAAATACACTTTGTCCTGTAGCATGTACTATTATATGTGAAAGGGCAAATGGGGTGAGGTCTCTGGAAAGAAAGAGAAAGATTCAGGATCAAAGAAATCTTTATCAGAAATGGGGAAGATTAAATGATCACTTGATGCCTCTCCAATGACAAGCACTGAGTGGTAAATGATGGTCACTGAATGATGAGAAATGGGCCCTTCCTTGAATTTTCAAAATTCATTTACTAAATGAATATATGAATGAATGAGAACCGTGTTTCTCCGTGGGGGAAAAGGTAGATTGTGCTATATGAATTTTAGAAACTAATGAGGGAAAGGAACGGGCATACAGCTGGTATCTACTGACAGTTAATAAGGACTGGAGGAAAACAGTATAGAATGCATCTTAAAATATAAAAAGATGGGTCACTTCTAGATTTGGAGAAGAGAAGGTTGTTGAAATTTTTAAGTTTTCTATAAAAGCTCATTTAGATTATCTAGGGGCTGGGGCTCAGTGGTAGGGTGTGAGGCACTGGGTTCAATCCTCAGCCCCGCATTAAAAAATAAACACAGACTCTCTAAACATTAGGGTCCTCATTTGCCACATGTGGACACCTGACAACTGTTTTCACTGACATAAAGCAAAGGTGAGATACACTGTTAACTAGTGACAAGTGCTTATGTGAAAAGCCAAAACCCTGGAGACCCGCTGTCTCTCAGCTGGTTGCTCGTGCTAAGGAAGACTTTCAGGGCAGGAAGGGCCAGGTCCCCACCACTGTGGTAACCACTCTTTACCAGGGCCTGCTGTGCACCAGCTCTGTGCAGAGAACTCGCCCTGGACAATCCTGGAGCCTGGGTCTCTGAAGGGTGGGGGTCTTCAAATCCCTGCAATCTAACTGCCCAGAGGCTTGGCTTCTCAGAGCATGCAGCATCTATGGGTTTTAGATTGGTACTCTATGAAATGAAGATGGAGTGATTCCTGTAGCTCACAAGATCAATGGTGAGATCAATAATGAGAAAA